GTGGCCTCAGGTTACTATTCTTATCTCATGGAACACTGAAAGCGATTATTAGAGCCTCAATTTCCTCATATATTTAATGTGCATAATTACGCCTACTTAGCTATTAGAAGGAACCAACGAGATAGTCAAGTTCGATGCTATAACCAGAATCACTCACCTCACTAGTTTCAGAGTATTGGTCACAAGTCTCTTAATTTTCCATTTGATTGCTCAAGCACTGCTTGCACAACTTTATGCGAGTCCAATATTTCCTGATCGAAGCCATTGCCTGCCCTTGTGCAAATGAGCCCAGGTTTCTCTGTCCAATGGGGAGAATCCTGCTCTCAATGCTGGGAAGAGAGAAACTAGTTCTCGTCAGGCCATTGTTACTGCCTCTGCTGCTACCACACGGGGGCGCTGTTGAAGACGTGGTCTGCCTAGCCTGGTGAACATTCCTCCTTTGTGGCAGAACTGGTGTCACAGTGCTTTCCACTCGTGGGCTCCACGGTTATCGCTTTCTTAGACTCACATTCACATGCTTGGCCATTGGCCGCAGAGCAAACCTGCCCCGTCAGACCAAGCAGGGCTTCTAGTCTGGGCCTCATGGGAAGCCAGAACCAGCCTTCTACCAATATTCCAGACCCTGTGTTTAGTCAGCTCATCGTTTCACTCCTGGGTGGTGTGGCAGGCACCTGGTGTCTTTTCTGGATGATGGGTTAGCCTGGCCTTTTAGACACAGTACTGGACATGGAGGATTCTTGTCCTTACGCAGATCCGCCCACCAAGGCCTCAGCGACCAGCTCTGCGAGCCAAGGGAGGAGGGAGGAGCCGTCGTCAGGCCCAGCAAGTCCGCTCCCCCTTCCCCAGGACCCCAGGGGCCTCCTGGCTCTGTGGCTGGAGAACTGAGAGGGACATGCTTCTTCCACCCTGGCCAGGTGACACCCGAATGAGGAAGGTCTTTTCCAAGGGACGCCTCCACTTGTGCTTTGACAGAGAGCTAGCGGGCAGCTTCTCTCAGCCCCAGCCCTCACTTGCACCCCGTCCCCCCTTTCTGGGTTCTCTGGGGCAGAGGCACCTTCCCGTTCAGACTCACAACCCCTCAGTGGAGGGGCGGCTGCTGCAAGCACTGCCTGGAATGATGGATGATGTGGCTGAGTGGCTGCTTAATGAACACCAGGTGCTACTATTGTCAGCGTTCTCTGAGGGAATTTCGGGTTCTCCTTCTGTGAAGACACCCCCTAGGCCCCTCACTTAAAGATCGCTCAGAACCCACCTTTTTGGCTCGGCGTTGGCCCCTTCCCCAGTGGGAGGAAAGAGCAGCTTTTGATGCCTCTCCAAGCTGTGGTTCAGAGACCCATGCCCTGCCTCATGCCCAGGGCTCCCCTGGATCCCTCCAGATGGACCAGGTGGGTCTTCCCCAGCAGCAGGGAGAGGGAAGGGCAGCAGGGTGGGTAGCAGCGGGCATCCCATCTGGCAGGCAGGTGGGCAGGCAGAGCCCCTGGGCCAGGCTAAGGAGAGGCCAGATTGCTGAGGCCAGGGGGCCCAGGCTGTGTCTTGCCTACCTGGCCTCAGGGTCCTCATGTCTGTAGGGTCCAGGCCATGTCCACAGCGAAGTGAGCCACAACCTTGCGTCCTGAGCGACAGCCAACAGAGCTACAGTCTGCCCTGCAGCTATGGCGGCATCTGTGGGTAGTGCCACCCCCAACTGTCAGGGGCCAGCTCATGGAGAAATGGCCCCCTGATGAGAAGTCTAACATCAGCGTGGACACCCCTGCACTTCCCCCACCCAGATCCCCAAATCTGAGCTCTTCAAATCAAGGTGGGTGACCTTCTTTGAGTCCAGGGGTAAGTGAGCAAACTCCTCCTGGTTCTCTGAAAGATGCCGTGAGGAGGGGTGGAGAGAAAAGCACAAGTCTGCTGTGTGGCTCAGCCAGGCCCGGCCACCGCTGCAGGCCGCACTGAGCGCGTGGTCTCCCAAACGACTCCCAGGTTTCTTTCTGGATCTGACATTCAGTATATGATAACAACAATAACAACAACAGCTAACCTTTTGGGCACTCCCCTAATTAAGTTCTCCCGAACTTGTGCTATTATTAGCCCTGTTTTATAGTCAAGGAAACTGAGCTTAGAAAACAATGAGTAAATTGCCTAAGGTTACCCAGTGGGTTAGGAGCAAAGTCTGGATTCAAACCAGAGACTCTCTGAGTGCAAAGTCCAACACAGGTGACCCTTCCGCCTCGGGAGGGTGTGGAGATGATCTAGCCGGTGCTGGTCCACTGCTGGTCTTTGGAGGATGAGAAGTGATCTGTCCCCTGCTCCGGTTTTGTGCGTGGGGTGTCCTCAGGAAAACATTTCCTCTCTTTCTGCTGTGGTTTCTGAAGAAACTGACCAGGCTGGCTCACAACAGCCAGCTGAAAGGACTCTGTGTGAGTAAGTGAAGCAGGCTCTTGCCTAAGGAAGCAGATGTGTATGTGGAGGGGAGGGACCAGGGAATAAGCGGGGCAATATCTCATGGGGAGAAACACGCCTGCTTCTTGGGGGCAGATGGCGGGCCCGCCTGTCAGCAAGGCCCCCTCTACTCCCTTCTCCCGGCCGGGCACGGTGGGGGGCAGGAGGATGTTGGGAGCTCAGAGATCCCTCCCAGGTCTGAATGCTCTGACACAAAGACGAAGAAGACGCCCCAGCTCTCTTTCCCGCTGCTCCACCTCCCCCATACCCTGGAGCTCAAATCCTGTTAGGAGAGAGAAGATTTACACATGCGAAAGTGAAGGAACAATAAGATGATTTCTGCCAAGTGTGTGGTCTGTCTACTCATTAATAAGCACTTACTGAGTGCTCTTGGGACCAGGCACTGGGCTAGGCTGGGGAGATACAGAGACCAGAGGGACCCCGCCCACCCTCTTAGCCCGCGGCCAGTGGAAAGGGCAGGCTCGTTAGCCAGCCAGGGCCACCATGGAGGAAAGAACCTCGGAGGCCTCATGTCAGCACGGGAGAGGTGCCAAGGACTCGGCTAAATCCTCCCGTGGCTCTCCTTATTTAATCCCTACAAAATCCCACGAGGTGGGGACTATTACTGTTCGTATTTCATGAGGGTACAGAGGCCCAAGGTCCTGAAGCTTGGAAGAGGTGAAGGAAGTATGTGAATGCAGAAAATACGGCTGTAAACATTTATTTTTATTATTGTTGTTATTATTATTATTAAGTTTCTTTTCAGGAAATGTGGCCTTACATGTCTAGTCCCATTTGGCCGGCCTCCGGGGTGCTGGGGTGTGGGTGGCGGGGAGCTGGGAGTGGAGGCTGGGGTTGGATAGCGAAGCGCCCCAGTGCCCCGTGATTTCACCCTGAAGCAGTGAGGCAGGCCTGCCGATCCAGAGGAAGATGGGCCATGTGGTCCGGGACCAGAAGCCTCCTTGAGGATGAGGGGCTCGCGCTGGCTACTGTTGCGTGAACAGCGTTAGAGAAAAAGAGTGGTGGGAGAAAGGGTGGGAGCCAAGGGGGCGGGGCTCTGCCATGGGGACCGAAGAGGGGACGTGTGGAGGATGAAGACCAGGAGCCCTGGAGGGGCGGGTCCCTGAAACCCAGACTGGCGTTTGTCCCCGGGGCACTCAGCACCGGCTGTCTGGACAGGGCGATGGCTCAGGCAAGTGGGGCTCCGAGAGGCCGAGTGCCCAGTGCAGTGTGGGTGCAGGAAGACACGTGGCCCCTGGCTTCATGACATTGGCAGTCCAGGGGCCAAGACAGACATGAATTTAGTGCCCACAGGCACCCATGGGTGAGCACAAACAGCCTGGCCGCTCACAAAAACCCAAGGGCCCTGGCGGGGGCAGAGGGGCAGGAATGCGGGCTGGTGGGAAATGTGGGGAGAAGCCCTTGGCCTGATCTCCTGGGGGTGGGTTGGGGGTGGGGGAGCAGAGAAAGCAGTCCAGGTGGAAAAAAAAGCAGGAGCAAAGCCTCGGAGACGGGAACCCAGAGGGTGAATTGAAAGAAAAGCTAAAAGGCCAGAGTGGCTGGTGCTCAGAGAGCTGGAGGGAGGGTGCAATAAGGCGCCAAATATTTTGGGGGGTTACTGGAGGGCAACCAGAAGACAGTGGTGAGTTTTAAGTAGGGAAATGGCATAAAGAGATTCGTGTTTTAGAAAGATCCCTCTGGCTGCTGTAAGGAGAATGGAATGAGGGGTAAGGATGGCTTTGAGAGACCTGCTAGGGCTCCCCACTAGGGGAGATTTTGGTCCTGGTAGGGGAACCAGAGGGCTGGGCGGATTGCACATGCATCTGGAAGGTGGGCTTAAGGGACTTGGTGACTGGCGGGGTTTGGGGGTGAGAAAGAGGGGAGAAGTCAGCAGGGGAACTGACTCAGAAGGGCCAGGCAGGTTGAAGACTACACAGGGCCCTTTGGGTTTAGGGAGCTGGTGACTGGAGCAGGAGCAGTTTGGGGGGATGGTGGAGAGGGAGCAGACACTGCCCAGTGGGTTGGACTGTGGGGGTGACACTGAGGAGGTGGGACCTGGAAATAACAGGTCACCGCCAAGAAATGGGGCGGAAAGAGAAAGCATGGGGCTGGCCCGAAGGGGCAGCACGAGGAAGGTTTGCTTTGTCTGCTTGGTGGTGGTTCATGGGGTGGGAGGAACTGGGGTTGTTTGCAGGCAGGGGAGAGGGAGGTTCTGGTTTCCCTGAACAGAGCAGACCCTGGAGGCTGAGAACAAGAACAAAATCCAGAAGGACCCTGGGAGAAAAGGAATTTGGCTTTTTAGCGAGGGAGCAAGAAGGCAAGATGGCAACTGCCCTTTGGTTTGACCAGGGCCAGTCAGAGAAAAGCCTCCTGAGGGCTGGTGGGGCAGGAGGCGGGGCCGGAAAGTCAGCTTTGCCTGGAAGGTGGGGAGAGATGCTTCTAATGGGGCATAGGTGTGTTAAAGGGGGGAATTACAGTGAGAATAAACAATAAAGATACTTCCGTGTAGCTAAGGTTTTCTCTCTGTCGTCCTTGGAGACTGTCTCATTTAAAGTTCGGCGTTTGAACTTGACTCCTCGCAATGGCAGCTTGTCGGGAAGAGTTCTAGCTCGTAAAACAGGAGAGCCAGCTTCTGCTTCAGCTCTGCCATTAACAGCTTTGGGGCCTTGGGCCTCAGTCTCCCATATTTAGGTTGGGATGGAGGTGAGTGTTTCTAATATTTTCACGTGAAGTTCTGGTTTGACAGCTTTGCTGCCTGCTGGTGGCTTGGTGCTTGGTGTATTTGCTGCATGGGACTGCACGAAGGGACAGTGGCAGGGTCGTGATGAGAGTAGCTGATGTGTATTGAGCGCCGTCTCAGTGGGCTGCACTATGCTGAGAACTTTGAACCTGGCAGAGGCATCATCATTCCCATTTCACAGAAGAGAAAACCAAACCTCACTTCCCTGGGTTCATGCTGCCGGGAAGCGGCAGGGTTGGGGTTCCTCTCTGCCATGGCTCCCCTGATGGAGGAGGGTATGTCCACTCGCTAGGACCCCTCCTCTGACCACAGGCTGTGAATGCGCAAGGGACACACAGCCTGGCAGGCTAAATCTGGACTGGAAGAGCAGGCTGCATGGGGAGAGCACCCCAGGACTCGGAGTCAGTGCTGGGGCAGAGGGGGAGCCGTGGGGATCAAGGTTAGAGACCAGGTCACGGAGATGCTGAATGCCAAGTCAAGGCCTGAACTAGACCCTGCAGGCATGGAGAGCCGTGGAAGGTCTGGGAGGAAGGCTCAGCAGGACTGACGACAGGATCCGCGTCAGACAGGCAGGGATGATACTGGAGTCCAGCGAGGAAGAGGGCAGACAGTGAACCCGGAGGGCATTTGCTGGCGAGTTAGATGGGGAAGGACAGGGCTGGCCTGCCCGAGGGAGGCCCTGGCCTCTCCAGGCCTAAGGCCAGCTGCCCACCTACTTGAGCAGGCAGCCCCGGCTCTGAGCCCATGCGGAGATGGGTTGGGACGTGTCTGAGGGATTTTGTTGTCTGTTTGCAAACCGATCTCCTGCCTTTGGCTGCAGCGGGAAGCTTGCGAGAGCCCTCGGCTGCCGCTGGCTTGATCCGCTCCATCTGTTGGTCTCACTTCCCCTGAGGTGCCTCGGTGGGCCCCCAGCCTCTGTCGCAGGGCCTCCATTCCAAGGACCCTGCCTGCCTGCCTGCCACCCGCCCTCCGGGGCCTGGGACCACTCAGACCCCTGAAGGCTTGTCCTGGGCCAGCGCCCTCAGCTTCTCAGGAGTCAAAGCCGTGTGTCACCAAGGAGGCCCCACCCTCAGCCCACAAGGACCCGGACTTTCTTTGCAAGCACTTTCACATCTACCAGCCTGTGTAATGCTCTTCCAACCCTGAGGGATCAGCCGCTGAGCCACAGGCCCTGACCCAGGTCCCTTAACTGGTGGCAGAGCCAGAGGCAGAGGCGGGGCTCCTCCTTTTGCTGCTCAGGGCTGAGGGACCCTTAGATGCCGAGCTGGGAAAAGGCCCGCCTCGGCTCCAGTCATTCACCGTGTCACCTGAGCAAGTCCATCCTCCCCTCTGGGCGGGGGTTGTGGGGTAGATGACCTTTGCATTCTTTACAGCTCTGAGAGGCTTTGGAAGACAGTCCTTCTGTGTGGCCATCCTGTGCGGGGGGCTGGGCCCACTGTGCAGGCCTGCCCTCAGGGCTGGTACGACCAGTGTGAAAGGCCTGGGCACAATGAGGCGGCGGCCTCTGGTGGCCAGGGTTAGTAAAGGGGGTCATACCTCCATCCTGGGCCTCCAAAGCTGTCACAGACCTCCAGGCGCCTGTTGGGCCTCTTTTCTTTCCTCCGAAATTCTCTCCCGTCCCAGGTCTCTTCCCCCACCCCCACCAGCACCCCAGCCTGGGTGTTTTCCTCTCCAGCTCCTGACCCTTCCAGCTCTTGCTCCGCTAACTGCTCAGTGACACAACCCTTACCCTCCCAACCTTCCTTTCACTGCTTTGCTCTGCTTCCTCATCACCAAGGATCAGGGTCAACTCAGCAGGCCGAGGGGCAGAGAGATGCCCCATCTGCTGCGGGGCAGAGGGGCCCACGACGGGACCCTGTCTGGGGTGGCTGCGCGGTGAGAGTGCCGTGGGCTGTGTGCCTGGGGCACCCTGCAGGGGCCTCCTGCTCTCACCCGCTCCCCTCGCCCAAGGGCTTCTCGTCCTTGCTTCAGTGCTAGTCTCTGTCTTCAGGCCCAACCCCGCCCTCTCCCCGCTCCCCTCAGGACAGCCAGTGACGAGGGAGCAGAGGCAGAGCCCGGGGTGGCATTCTACATGGGAAAACCTGAGACAGCAAGGTTCCTTGCCTTGCAGACATCAGAGCAGGAAGCGGCTCCAATTCTATCTTCCCCCCATTTTACAGGCGAGGAAACTGAGGCCCAGAGAGGAGACTGGTGGGTCTGAGCTGATTTGAAACCAGAACTCCTGACTCTCAGGCATGCCTTCTTCCTGCAGCAAATGCCATCTCATTGGTAACAACTATTATTATTATTACTATTAGTAGTAGTATTGTCGCTGTTATGATTGTTATCACTGCTTAATGGTGATTCAACTTTTGGCCAGACCCTCACTGAATTCCCCCTGACGCCTTTGCGTGTGACAGACATTGTTATCCCCATGCTACAGGTGAGGAGCCCAGGGGGCTTAGAGGTTAAATGATCCACCTGCTGCTTCCCAGTCAGCAGGGGGCAGTGTGGGGACTCCAGTGCCTGGGTCAAACCCCTGTTCTCTGCTCCTCAGCTGTGTGGTCTTGGGAGGTCACTTGCCCTCTCTGAGTTTCAGCCTCTTCCCTCGTAGATCAGAGCGGCCCACTCCTCCAGTGCGATCGTCTGTGAGCTGCCCGGCTGCACCAGGGGCGCCCGTGCCTGCCTGTCACTAGCTGTAGGCCCTCAGCAAACCCTCCGCCCTCTCTGAACTTTGGGGCCATGTCTAGGAACGGGGAGAGCTAGACCCACAGTACAGAGTTGGAGGGGGATTACAGGAGAGTGTGCTGGCAGAGAAGATGTTGCCCTTGGTACTCTGTTAGCTGTGGTTTTCCTGAAGCTGCCTGATTTCTCAAGTGAGCAGGGCCCAGTTGTCGGGCAGGTTGTCATCCTCCGTATTATACACACAGTGGCCAGGCACATCTTCTTGGTTCTCTTGGATTATTTCCTAGAGGTCAAGTCCTGGGACCGGCTGACTCGTCTGGGTGGAAGGGCACGCACACACATGCAAATTAGCAGCTTTTTCTTACGCGCACAGCTCGGGAGTGCAGGGCTGCGTGTGTGTGAGTCTCTACCAGGCTGTTTCTTGGTATGCGGCCCTGGGCAAGTGACTGCCCTCCCCTCAGCCTTAGATCTCCAGTCTGTAAGTGGGGGACCATAATGTCACCCGTGTCAAGGGATCGCTGCCTCGCGTGAAGAAAACGCTCACAAACCCTCCCTTCACTATGCTGCCGACCCACTCCGACCTCCCTCTGTGCACCTACCGAAACCCAAAGCGGGGCCAGGGAGATGGCTGCCTGACTGGGGTCACACAGTCTGTACTCAGCCGGTGGCCCTGACCTCTCTGGGACCTGTTCCAGTCCCTCCTCCGGGACACGCTCCTGGACCCAGGCCAGGGCTGGAGCTAGGGAGGACGGAGACTGTGGTGGCCTGAGGCCCTCTGCAGGTACCAGGGGTTGGGAACACGGGGCCAGGCCGGTTTGGGGGGAAGTTCCTACCGATCCCTTGTTATTCCTTTGCCCACTCTGGGCCTTTGCTCCGCACATGGCCCCACCCAGCATGCTCTCCCGGCCAGGGTGCCTTGAGTCGCATGGCCTGTCCTGCTGGACTGTGAGGGGCAGCATCTCCTTCATCCCAGTGTCCTGGGCTCAGCACTCCTCAAGGCATGTTGCCAGAATAAGATGAACTTGGGCATTTCAGAGATGGGCTGGGCCGATTTCGTGTTTCCTAATGGAGAACTAGAAGCCCCAAAGGTGATGAACTCTGTCCACAGCCACATGGTCTGTTTGTTAATCCATTTCTTACAGGCCTACTGAGTGCTCAGTGCCGGCTAAGTGCCTGGCTGGGAAGGGGAGAGGTGTGGCTGGAGGAACCCTGAGATGCAGGTTTACTCCTTTGCTGGGACTGGGGCTTGTTATGGCCTACTAGTTCTTGAGGTTGGTGTGAGGAAGGATGGGAGACATATGTCCATGTTACCCACGAGTGTAATGGTGGCCATGAGCAGGGAGGGGGGCTTCCAGGGGACAGGTGGCCGGCTTCGATCTGGAATCAGGTGCACCTGGGCCAGGTCCCTGCTTCTCCACTGACCAGCTGCATGGCCTTGGACAAATCGCCTCTCCTCTCCGAACCTCAGGTCCTCCCATGTGAACCCTCACCTCCCTAGAGAGGCCTTCCCTCATCACTTTATGCAAAGTGGCCTTGCCCAGCCTGCCTCCCACCTGGCCCTTCATTTCCCCCACGGCACTGGCCACAAGTCGCCATTAACCTCGTCTGTTCCTCTTTTGGTGTCTGGCTCCCTGTTTCAGAATGTAAGCTCCACAAGAGCAGGGATTTTTGTCTGTTTTATTCCCTGCTGTAGCTCCAGGACCCAGCACTGGCACGTAGTAGGACTTACAGTGCTGGCAGACAGTAGGCACTCAGTAAATATTTGTTGAATGAATGGATGGATGAATAAATGAATGCAATAGCGTGAATAATTCCACCCCACCCTCCCCAAAGGAGACAAGATATGCAATGTGCCCAGACCAGCACACAGTAGGTTCAATCGGTGAGATGGAGCTGCGGTTGCCGTGTGGGGAGAAGCTCCGCAGCGGCCTCCTGGAGGCTGGCCCATGGCGGAGGGCAGAACAGCTCGTCAGCTCTCACAGTGCAGCTTCCACTTCCTGGCGTGAGTTGGGCTTTCTAATTGTTCCCGTCTCCTTGGCAGCCTCAGCAGCTGTCTAATGAGTTTGCACCCGATCAGCCCCTGGGCCGGGCCGCACAGCCCAGGCCTGCCTGCCCATCTGCAGGCAGACAAAGACCCTCTGTCTCTGGGATCTGCCTCCCGCCTGCCCCGTGCCTCCCTGACAAGCCGAGGTCCTGGCTGCCAAGCTCCCCTTCTGAGCGGAGGAGCCCAAGACTCTGTGTGGACCAGGGGCACACAGCAGAGTGGAAGGAACATCTGCCATGGAGAGTGGGGCCCTGGGTTCAAGTCCCAGCTCTGCCCCAGCTACTAGGCCATGAATGGCAAGACTGAGAGTGTGGCCTTTGGAGCCAGACTTCCTGGGGTGGAACCCCACCTTTGCAAGGACAAATCAATCTCAGTTTTCTCATCCTTAAATTGGGAATAGATTACGTGCGCTGACAGGGGTAGGTACTCAGCACAGGTTCTGGCACATAGAAGGAGCTGCCATAGTTCCTGGGGACCCCCTTTTGACCTGGCATTCCCAGTCTTCTCACTTGTGGAGGTGGGGCTGCATGACCTCGGCCCTTTGACATTGGACTGGATCATTCTCTGCATGGAGGGCTGTCTGTGCATTACAGTGTGTTCACTAGTTCCCCTGACACCACAGCCCCGATCTCAAGGTTTCTCGGCAAACTCTGAAATCCCTGATTTGCTTCAGGAACCCCAGGGTATTCCCCTGACCCCAACATGAACCACCGTAAAACAGCCTGACTTACGAACGCTTGCATAACTGTTCCCCCCAAATAACCTCCCCTGTCTGGAGTCCCCAGATGCCTCAGGCTGCTGATGGGGGTATTAGGGCTGGGAAGGTGATGGCGGCTTCTTCGTGGAGAGAAGCCAGAAGCAAAATTATGCAAAGCTGTAGCAGGACCCAGCCCTGAGCACCCTGGAAACTCCTGGATGTACATGTTCCCTCTAGCGTCTTCCTGGAGATTCCCACATCTTCCTTCTGCAACAGGAGGCTGCCAGCCCACAGCCCTGCTCTTCATCTCCCTGGGTCCCTGTCTCAGGCCCTGCCAAGCCCAACTCCTCCGTCCAGGCCCAGCCTTCACTGTGGTCTCATCTCCCACCATGCTGCCCCCTGCTCTGCATCCCCAAGCTGCTGTGCCTTTGCTGGCACCGTCCTTCCCGACCCCCTCCCTCCAGGTTCAGCGCTGTAGTCTGGTGCCTCCTCTCAGGCTCTCCGAGGTCCCTTCACCAGGCTCTGCCCTGCCCTGGGCTGCAGAGCCAGCCGGAGCGCACTGCTCTGCCAGAACACACATCTGCCAGCATGGCATCAAGTGAATTTATGAGGCTGTCTGTCTGCCCTCGATCTCGGTGGCCCCAGGGCAGGGCCCTGTCTGATTCATGGCCCAGAGTGGGGCCTGGCCAGCATCAGGGAGCGTGTGCTGAGCAGCACTGATGTGAGCTGGCTCTGGGAGGAGGCATTGTAAGGTCTGGTTGGCACGGAGCACAGGCCTGGGGTGGCGGGGACACACTGGTGCCAGGGCTGCCGGCGAAGCTGGGAACCCTCTGGGCCGTCCCTCCTTCACGGGCTCGCTCACCATTCCCTCCCTCCCCATCCTTCTCCCCTCTGTCACTGACTCATTCACGCAGTGACTTCTCTGGCTCATTCATGCATTTGCCTGCTCCTTCACGTGCCCATTCACTGATGGGGGAGCTCATTCATTTCTTCTCGCACCCCTTTACTCATCCAGCAAACACTTCCTGAGCTCTAGTGTCATACCCTGTCGGACACTCTGTCGAAGCCCTGGACATGCAGAGAGAAACTGGCCTCAGCCCAGCTCCGAAGACCTTCTGTTCTGGCCCGGTGGCAGCGTGGGGGTGGGGGAACACAGACGTATAAGCAAATGAGTGAATGCAGTACAGAGGGAGGGAAGCTCAAGTGATACAGAATGTGACCACAACCGCAGAGGCATCTGGTCCGGCTTCACAGAGGACGGGACATTTCCACCTGGGCCCTGGAGATTAAGAAATACTAAGAAAGGGCTGATGAGGCTGGGCTTAGAGTCTGGGGAGGGGGAGAAGGAAAGATGGCAGATCAGGGGAAGAAACACTCTCTATAGGACTCAGGGACTGCTTGGACAGGTAACCGGTGAGGGAGTAGAAGGGACCAGAATTGTGTTTAACCCCCATCCTTCATCCAGATACACCGAATCCACAAATATACAGGCAGCATCCACGGTGCACCAGACAGTGCCCCGGGGGCTGGGGATGCAACTCAGACACTCTGCCCTCAGAGAGCGAGCTTACGTTCAGTGTGGGGAGGCAGACCACTAAAGGGCACATCAGACGTGCAGGGCTAGATGGTGAATCATGCTTTGCAGAGCTGTGGAGCAGGGGGCTGGCTTGATAGCGTGCTCACAGGGGGCATCCCGGAGGGGACGACACGTGGGAGCGGTGCTGCGTCTGGTAAGCGTGTCCACGCAGACCCCGCTGGAACGTGACTTGCTTATCGAGGACAGACACTGGCCTCAATTCAACGCCACAGCCCAGTGGGCACCAGGCTGAGTGACTGTGCAGCCCGTGGCAGCCACTGCGCGTC